GTATTTCACAAAGTATCTTTAATGTCTGCCACCTGTATGGGATTAATTTTGTACCTTTAAAAAATGAACATAATTTTTCAAGAAACTTACGAAAAATAAAAATATAAACTGAAATGAAATGAATAAAATGTCTTTGAAAACTGAAAAAAATAAATCACAGGCAAAATCTTTGACTTTGTTTTTAATACACTGCATATGCCCAGTCTTGCTTCTGGAGATCTCACTAAAAGTTCAGCTCTAAACCTATTCTAATTAAGAGTCAGGAAAAATAGATTGTTACACAGGTTTGCTGGAGCAGTACTGACACTGAACTCTGCAGGAAGGTAGATCTCCTGAAACAGGATGTTTGCAGGTACAGTTTTTTTTAAAGTATTTATTGATGGAGACATGAAACATTAAACTCTAAAGCACCTAAACTGTAGCATAGTCCATCCCTGTTTGTACATATGTACAACTGTAGGCTACATAATCTAATTAAATCAAATGTAATTAAAAAATTAGTACATGTACAAATTTGTACAATTAAAAAATGTGTATGTTCAAATGCAAATGAAAACTCTTACACTAAAGCCAAGGGTTCCACTGAAGATGTAGTTCTCTAGTTCCACTAGAGGTTGCATCTGCCAGCCACATACTCACGGCAGAGTACATAAAGGTCTGTAAGTGGAGTGTAGGAATCACTCTGGTGTATGAGAGTGTTGAGTTCTGCCAGTTCCTCTTCATTCAAGGGACACTCAAACTGGGACCAATACTGCACCATCCACATTTTCTCCATGAGATAGTGCTGCTACTTCCCAGTCAATGTCCGGCTCTTGAATATCCTATTTTGCAGCAGGATAAAATAACAGAACACATCAATTAAAAGGAGACACATGCCATTGCACTTTATTTGTAATGAAAAAACATAAATGAACAGGAGAACAACCTCAAGATTCTCTGGCTGATCAATCTGTGTGTGCATCATTCCAATGTACCACTTCTGCTCTGGGCTCAAATTTCCCTCTGTTCTGAGAGGATGGTTGTTCCAGCCTGCAGCAAAAGTCTCCAAGTCTGCTTTTAGTTTAGGTAGAAATATACAGTGGACACAGAAAATGTCATTTGCAGAGGATAAATCAAGTAGGTGATCTCTTTCCAGGCTTTGTAGTGTTTCAGAGTACTTGGAGGTGACACAGACCCTTAGGTCACGCCACAGACGTTCAATCCTATGGAAATGAGAACATTGTAAAGGGGAAAAAAAGAAGGGAAAAAATAGTCAAAGAAATAAGAATGACTTTCTTACATGTTCCATGTAAGGGCTTAATCACTGTTTCTTTATCATTAGATTACAGTGCGTGCATAATTATGCAATTTGATATTCTGGTCAAATTATTTTTCCAAGTACATTTCAGCAATACCAAACCACACCAATCTTAATAACTACTATATCATTCAATCATTTATAAGTGATATATAATTGTTAACAAGAACTGAAAAAAATAAAAAAGTCTTGTACTCAGATGTGCATAATTAAGCAGGTTTTCCTTTATGGGTAATATGTGCCAAAAAAAATTTTTACTTTAAAGAATGTCTGCATTTTTTCATTTTTACTTATAGAGATAATTCATGGAAAATTGGCCATGCTAAGTTGAAGATTTCACCTGGCAGAAAAACAAATAGGCCTACTATGAAAATGCCATGATTCCCACTATGACCACTAGATGGCAGCAGAGAATCATTTATTGTCTCATTTTCCATTTCCACTTTGTAAAATGGTTATTTTCACATGTTTTGCTAATGGATTTATATTTAGACATAAAAAAAATCACAATTACAGCATTTAAACATCTCCTTTTTCAGAATTCAGCATTGTTTTGTATTGAAGTATGGAGTAGCAAGCGTTTTCAACTCATTGGATCTACTTAAATTCTGGAAAATGGTGGTGCTGGAGACTAAAGGGATCCTGGTGGTTTCACACCTGATTCTTCACCTTAATTCTTAAAGTCTTTTGCTGTTAACATGCAGCTTTTCTTCTCCACCTGTTTTTGTCTGACCTTGCATAGTCAATGAGCATTTTGCTGTCCAGTGGACATGATTTAATTTGACAATTTCTGTATTGCAATAGTTTTTAATATTTCTAAAATAATTAATCATTTTTTACTTTTCATTGTGAGTTAAAACTCTTTTTGGCGCATTTTACCCATAAAAGAAAACCTACGTAATACTTATGCACACCTGAGGCATTTTTCACTTTCAGCGCTTGTTAACAATTATATATCATGTACAAATGATTAAATACAAAATTAATAGTAGTTATTAAGATTGATGTGGTTTGGAATTAGTAAAATGTGCTTAGAAAAAAAATAAGACCAGAATATCAACTTGCATAATAATTATGCATGCACTGTATATGGTGAAGTGATGTGGCGCACCTTTGATTATGAACGCTCTTTCCAGACATAAAGCTCCCACGGTCAGTTCCACGAATTGAAAACATGAACTTCGCTATTTCCACATTCTCCACCCCCTGGTCTGCTCTGACTCTGTAAGAAAGATAATTAAGAAAAAGATAAAGAATTAGGAATGTTAAATAGAATGAGGGTAAAGAGAACACAATTTACCTCTATGTCAGAGGAGGCGAGCAGAGCAAATAAACTATGTAATAGAGTTAGTGCCTTACGTGGGGGAGGGGATAAAAGAGGAAATTGGAGGCTAAACCATAAGACAGATGCAGTACAGAAGCTGCTTAACTGAAGCATGGGATTATTATATTACATAGATGAGACTTCACAAAAGATGATATTTTGAAGAATGCTATTAACCAAACAGTTTTGATTTCCATTTGTCAGCAAACGGAAAGAGACCATTAGGAGACATACAGGTGAGATTCAAGAAGTTCCTTGCAGGAAACACAGAGGAAGATGACAGAAGACAGATGATTACTTGGGAAACGCAGGTAAGTGAGTCCGGTAAGTGGCTTGTAGTAACAGCGACGAGACCAGACAATAAGGGAGGGAAGGGTGACTACTTTTATATAGTAGGTGATGAGGAGAATAGTGGCAAGTGTGCTGA